AGAGCCCGGGAGCGCTCGTGCATTTTGGGGCCATTTTGGTTCATCTTGGGTGCAGCCCTGGCTGGGCTCTGGTGCTGCCCAAGGTGCATCCATGGAGGCCTTCTAATAAATACCTAATACTCTAATACTTTAATACCTTATACTAATAAATACTTTAGCTCTATCTAGTCTCTGTGCTAGGCCAGCCTGCACAAGGCATCCTGAGCAAGGCCCCCAAAGCCTCCGTGAAGTCACAGCCGTGCCCCACAGGCTCCATGGGCTGCAGGGAGTGGGGCTCAGCTCGTGGATTCACCCAGCCCAGTGAAGGTGCCCACAGAACCACAAACAGGCACGGCAATGCCCTCCAGGCTCTGCCTGTGCTCTGGGTGCTGCTCCATGAGTCTGTGTCATGTCTGGGAGCTCCAGGGAGATGTCTCAGATCCCTCAGGATATTCACCAGGTGTTAGACACTCCAGCCAAGTGACTGAGCCCAGTTTGCCTGAACTTGAGGTCTGACTGTCAAGTTCCTGTTATTGTTCACGAGTTGAGGGATTCATTTCACCGTGAGGGCTGAGTGCTGCCTGTATCCTGTCACAGACATCTTTTATGGAAAATCCTTTCCTTACAATTTTTCCTCCTGAGAAGCTGAGAAGCCCCAGGAACAAAATGTAAACATTGATTATCTGCTGCTGTGGAATGTAACAGGTGGATCTTTGATTGGTCCATGTTGGTTGTTATTAATTAATGGCCAATCACAGCCCAGCTGGCTTAGACAGAGAGCCCAAGCCACAAACCTTTGTTATCATTCTTTCTTATTCTATTCTTAGCCAGCCTTCTGATGAAATCCTTTCTTCTATTTTTTTTAGTACAGTTTTAATGTAATATACATCATAATAAATCAGCCTTCTGAAGCATGGAGTCAGATCCTCATCTCTTCCCTCATCCTGAGCGCCCTGTGAACACCATCACAGTATCCCTTTGGAAATCTGGATTTGGCACGTACAGACCCTCTGGGAGCTCTGTGTCCTTCTGGATTGGCAGGGGGACACCCAGAGGAATGGCACTGAGACACCACAGATGGTTCTGGACACCTGTGTTCAGTCAGGCACCTGGAAAATCCCATCTCCACTGGCTGCAGCAGGAGCTCAGAGCTTTGAGCACGAGCAGGCAGCACTTTGCATCCTGCCACCCAAATGATGATGTCTTATCTGCAAGTTGGATCCCGCTTGAGCAATCAGTCCAAGCCAGCATCCTTTGAAGCTGTGAAATCCAGCTGAAAGCAGCTCCTGACCAGCAGCTCACCAGGCCATAAAGAAACACTCTGTGACCCAATGAAATCTGAAAGCTCTGCCATCTCACTGCTACCCAGCCTGGCTCTGGAATTTGCTTACTGATGTCTTTTATTTGCAGGTGTGGAAGGGATTTTTCCCCCCACCATGCAGTCATTTGGAGGCACACAGCCAGGTTTGCATTCCACAGGGCTTCAATCTGGTCTGGGATTTGCCTGGGAGTGTCAGCAGGTGAAGTGCTCACTAATGAACTCAGTGGTGGTGTTAGGGTGAGGTCAGCTCAGTTCCTCCTCAAGTTGGTTTTGTGCAAGGGCAGCAAGGTTAAATCACTTTAATGGTGATTTAGAACAGGTCTGTGGTCTGGAGCTGACCCTTTGGATCCTTGTGCCATTCCTCCTGGTTCAGGAACATCCCAACACCCCAAATTTCATCTACTCTTTTGTCAGACAGGCTGTGTTGACTACACCTCACCAAGCCTTTGAGCTCTCAAAAATCCACTTGCTCTGCAATTTATTTTTTTCTTGGAATATGTGAGATAATTCTCAATCCTGTGTGTGGGAAAGAGAGGTTGTGGTGAAGAAATGCCACCTTTGCTACAGTGAGAATTTCCTTCATGCAGGAATCCAGGGAGAGCCTTGAACCTGTTTGTTCTGTCCTAATCAATGCAGCTGCTCTGTGCAGGAAGTGCCTTTCATCCTGGGAATGTCAAGGCCTTTATGGCAGCATATGGAAATCCAGGTCCAGGCCTCTCCTCCCTGTCAGACAAAGGCTTGAAGCCCTGCCTGAGTCACCAGGGACTGATAACTCCAACCGGGTCTTGAGCAACCCCACAGGAATTCCAGTTTCAACAAACTGCTGCTTTCCAGACGACAAATGCTTCCTGTGGAATTTCTGTCCCTCAAGTTGCTCCTTCACGAGCAACACACCCAGATTCCAGGTGTGTTTCCAGATTCCAGAAATTTATTTATTTCTAATTTCTATCAAAAATAAAGAAGCAGCTTGGGTCCTACTTATTTTTCAGACCCAAGGTCACGGAAGGGACCACGCGGGAGATTTTGGTTAATCAGGATGAAGATGGGGGAGTTTTTTTGACCAAGAATTGTCACTGCGAGTGCAGAATTTAATGAGACACAGCCCCTTCAAGCACCTACAGATGGTTTTATCTTCCACATTTCCATGCCAGGACTTTGCAGGGGATTTCTCTCTGCTGTGCTTCCCTCAGTGTCCATTGGGACAACGCGATGTCTCGATGAAGTGGGGAGGGCAGGACAAGTAAATAGTCCTGAAGTGGGGAAGGGAAGGACTTTGGCTGACACTGAACAGCTAAAT